TAACAGCTCAGCTCATACAGCATTTTTGAGGCGCCTCAAAAGTCATCCCCTTTAACAGCTCAGCTCATACAGCATTTTTGAGGCGCCGCAAAAGTCATCCCCTTTAACAGCTCAGCTCATACAGCATTTTTGAGGCGCCTCAAAAGTCATCCCCTTTAACAGCTCAGCTCATACAGCATTTTTGAGGCGCCTCAAAAGTCATCCCCTTTAACAGCTCAGCTCATACAGCATTTTTGAGGCGCCTCAAAAGTCATCCCCTTTAACAGCTCAGCTCATACAGCATTTTTGAGGCGCCGCAAAAGTCATCCCCTTTAACAGCTCAGCTCATACAGCATTTTTGAGGCGCCTCAAAAGTCATCCCCTTTAACAGCTCAGCTCATACAGCATTTTTGAGGCGCCTCAAAAGTCATCCCCTTTAACAGCTCAGCTCATACAGCATTTTTGAGGCGCCTCAAAAGTCATCCCCTTTAACAGCTCAGCTCATACAGCATTTTTGAGGCGCCTCAAAAGTCATCCCCTTTAACAGCTCAGCTCATACAGCATTTTTGAGGCGCCTCAAAAGTCATCCCCTTTAACAGCTCAGCTCATACAGCATTTTTGAGGCGCCTCAAAAGTCATCCCCTTTAACAGCTCAGCTCATACAGCATTTTTGAGGCGCCGCAAAAGTCATCCCCTTTAACAGCTCAGCTCATACAGCATTTTTGAGGCGCCGCAAAAGTCATCCCCTTTAACAGCTCAGCTCATACAGCATTTTTGAGGCGCCTCAAAAGTCATCCCCTTTAACAGCTCAGCTCATACAGCATTTTTGAGGCGCCTCAAAAGTCATCCCCTTTAACAGCTCAGCTCATACAGCATTTTTGAGGCGCCTCAAAAGTCATCCCCTTTAACAGCTCAGCTCATACAGCATTTTTGAGGCGCCTCAAAAGTCATCCCCTTTAACAGCTCAGCTCATACAGCATTTTTGAGGCGCCTCAAAAGTCATCCCCTTTAACAGCTCAGCTCATACAGCATTTTTGAGGCGCCTCAAAAGTCATCCCCTTTAACAGCTCAGCTCATACAGCATTTTTGAGGCGCCGCAAAAGTCATCCCCTTTAACAGCTCAGCTCATACAGCATTTTTGAGGCGCCTCAAAAGTCATCCCCTTTAACAGCTCAGCTCATACAGCATTTTTGAGGCGCCTCAAAAGTCATCCCCTTTAACAGCTCAGCTCATACAGCATTTTTGAGGCGCCTCAAAAGTCATCCCCTTTAACAGCTCAGCTCATACAGCATTTTTGAGGCGCCTCAAAAGTCATCCCCTTTAACAGCTCAGCTCATACAGCATTTTTGAGGCGCCGCAAAAGTCATCCCCTTTAACAGCTCAGCTCATACAGCATTTTTGAGGCGCCTCAAAAGTCATCCCCTTTAACAGCTCAGCTCATACAGCATTTTTGAGGCGCCTCAAAAGTCATCCCCTTTAACAGCTCAGCTCATACAGCATTTTTGAGGCGCCGCAAAAGTCATCCCCTTTAACAGCTCAGCTCATACAGCATTTTTGAGGCGCCTCAAAAGTCATCCCCTTTAACAGCTCAGCTCATACAGCATTTTTGAGGCGCCTCAAAAGTCATCCCCTTTAACAGCTCAGCTCATACAGCATTTTTGAGGCGCCTCAAAAGTCATCCCCTTTAACAGCTCAGCTCATACAGCATTTTTGAGGCGCCTCAAAAGTCATCCCCTTTAACAGCTCAGCTCATACAGCATTTTTGAGGCGCCGCAAAAGTCATCCCCTTTAACAGCTCAGCTCATACAGCATTTTTGAGGCGCCTCAAAAGTCATCCCCTTTAACAGCTCAGCTCATACAGCATTTTTGAGGCGCCTCAAAAGTCATCCCCTTTAACAGCTCAGCTCATACAGCATTTTTGAGGCGCCGCAAAAGTCATCCCCTTTAACAGCTCAGCTCATACAGCATTTTTGAGGCGCCTCAAAAGTCATCCCCTTTAACAGCTCAGCTCATACAGCATTTTTGAGGCGCCTCAAAAGTCATCCCCTTTAACAGCTCAGCTCATACAGCATTTTTGAGGCGCCTCAAAAGTCATCCCCTTTAACAGCTCAGCTCATACAGCATTTTTGAGGCGCCTCAAAAGTCATCCCCTTTAACAGCTCAGCTCATACAGCATTTTTGAGGCGCCGCAAAAGTCATCCCCTTTAACAGCTCAGCTCATACAGCATTTTTGAGGCGCCTCAAAAGTCATCCCCTTTAACAGCTCAGCTCATACAGCATTTTTGAGGCGCCTCAAAAGTCATCCCCTTTAACAGCTCAGCTCATACAGCATTTTTGAGGCGCCGCAAAAGTCATCCCCTTTAACAGCTCAGCTCATACAGCATTTTTGAGGCGCCTCAAAAGTCATCCCCTTTAACAGCTCAGCTCATACAGCATTTTTGAGGCGCCTCAAAAGTCATCCCCTTTAACAGCTCAGCTCATACAGCATTTTTGAGGCGCCTCAAAAGTCATCCCCTTTAACAGCTCAGCTCATACAGCATTTTTGAGGCGCCTCAAAAGTCATCCCCTTTAACAGCTCAGCTCATACAGCATTTTTGAGGCGCCGCAAAAGTCATCCCCTTTAACAGCTCAGCTCATACAGCATTTTTGAGGCGCCTCAAAAGTCATCCCCTTTAACAGCTCAGCTCATACAGCATTTTTGAGGCGCCTCAAAAGTCATCCCCTTTAACAGCTCAGCTCATACAGCATTTTTGAGGCGCCTCAAAAGTCATCCCCTTTAACAGCTCAGCTCATACAGCATTTTTGAGGCGCCTCAAAAGTCATCCCCTTTAACAGCTCAGCTCATACAGCATTTTTGAGGCGCCGCAAAAGTCATCCCCTTTAACAGCTCAGCTCATACAGCATTTTTGAGGCGCCTCAAAAGTCATCCCCTTTAACAGCTCAGCTCATACAGCATTTTTGAGGCGCCTCAAAAGTCATCCCCTTTAACAGCTCAGCTCATACAGCATTTTTGAGGCGCCGCAAAAGTCATCCCCTTTAACAGCTCAGCTCATACAGCATTTTTGAGGCGCCTCAAAAGTCATCCCCTTTAACAGCTCAGCTCATACAGCATTTTTGAGGCGCCGCAAAAGTCATCCCCTTTAACAGCTCAGCTCATACAGCATTTTTGAGGCGCCTCAAAAGTCATCCCCTTTAACAGCTCAGCTCATACAGCATTTTTGAGGCGCCTCAAAAGTCATCCCCTTTAACAGCTCAGCTCATACAGCATTTTTGAGGCGCCGCAAAAGTCATCCCCTTTAACAGCTCAGCTCATACAGCATTTTTGAGGCGCCTCAAAAGTCATCCCCTTTAACAGCTCAGCTCATACAGCATTTTTGAGGCGCCGCAAAAGTCATCCCCTTTAACAGCTCAGCTCATACAGCATTTTTGAGGCGCCTCAAAAGTCATCCCCTTTAACAGCTCAGCTCATACAGCATTTTTGAGGCGCCTCAAAAGTCATCCCCTTTAACAGCTCAGCTCATACAGCATTTTTGAGGCGCCGCAAAAGTCATCCCCTTTAACAGCTCAGCTCATACAGCATTTTTGAGGCGCCGCAAAAGTCATCCCCTTTAACAGCTCAGCTCATACAGCATTTTTGAGGCGCCTCAAAAGTCATCCCCTTTAACAGCTCAGCTCATACAGCATTTTTGAGGCGCCGCAAAAGTCATCCCCTTTAACAGCTCAGCTCATACAGCATTTTTGAGGCGCCGCAAAAGTCATCCCCTTTAACAGCTCAGCTCATACAGCATTTTTGAGGCGCCTCAAAAGTCATCCCCTTTAACAGCTCAGCTCATACAGCATTTTTGAGGCGCCTCAAAAGTCATCCCCTTTAACAGCTCAGCTCATACAGCATTTTTGAGGCGCCTCAAAAGTCATCCCCTTTAACAGCTCAGCTCATACAGCATTTTTGAGGCGCCGCAAAAGTCATCCCCTTTAACAGCTCAGCTCATACAGCATTTTTGAGGCGCCTCAAAAGTCATCCCCTTTAACAGCTCAGCTCATACAGCATTTTTGAGGCGCCTCAAAAGTCATCCCCTTTAACAGCTCAGCTCATACAGCATTTTTGAGGCGCCGCAAAAGTCATCCCCTTTAACAGCTCAGCTCATACAGCATTTTTGAGGCGCCGCAAAAGTCATCCCCTTTAACAGCTCAGCTCATACAGCATTTTTGAGGCGCCTCAAAAGTCATCCCCTTTAACAGCTCAGCTCATACAGCATTTTTGAGGCGCCGCAAAAGTCATCCCCTTTAACAGCTCAGCTCATACAGCATTTTTGAGGCGCCGCAAAAGTCATCCCCTTTAACAGCTCAGCTCATACAGCATTTTTGAGGCGCCTCAAAAGTCATCCCCTTTAACAGCTCAGCTCATACAGCATTTTTGAGGCGCCTCAAAAGTCATCCCCTTTAACAGCTCAGCTCATACAGCATTTTTGAGGCGCCTCAAAAGTCATCCCCTTTAACAGCTCAGCTCATACAGCATTTTTGAGGCGCCTCAAAAGTCATCCCCTTTAACAGCTCAGCTCATACAGCATTTTTGAGGCGCCGCAAAAGTCATCCCCTTTAACAGCTCAGCTCATACAGCATTTTTGAGGCGCCTCAAAAGTCATCCCCTTTAACAGCTCAGCTCATACAGCATTTTTGAGGCGCCGCAAAAGTCATCCCCTTTAACAGCTCAGCTCATACAGCATTTTTGAGGCGCCTCAAAAGTCATCCCCTTTAACAGCTCAGCTCATACAGCATTTTTGAGGCGCCGCAAAAGTCATCCCCTTTAACAGCTCAGCTCATACAGCATTTTTGAGGCGCCGCAAAAGTCATCCCCTTTAACAGCTCAGCTCATACAGCATTTTTGAGGCGCCGCAAAAGTCATCCCCTTTAACAGCTCAGCTCATACAGCAGTACTCCCTTTTGAGTCAAGCCAACGGGAAGGGGCTCGAAGTTTACCGACAATGCATAAGGATGGGTACAAGGGGGTGAGAGAGAGGTACCTGAGGTGAGGGTGCATTGAATGGGGGAATCCCCACCAGCAGCTCGTACAGCAGCACCCCCACCGACCACCAGTCCGCTGCAGGGCCTGGGAGGGAGAGAGAGGGTGAGGGGGGGGAATAGAGGGGCAAAAGGGACGGATAGAGTGGAACCGAGGGTGGCAGAGGGGCAAGACGGGTGGAATCCCCACCAGCAGCTCGTACAGCAGCACCCCCACCGACCACCAGTCCGCTGCAGGGCCTGGGAGGGGGGGAGAGAGAGGGGGGGAGGGTTTGGAAGTAGAGGGGTGACAGATGAGGAGAATCGAACTGGGTGCAACAGAGAGTGGAGACCCCACCAGTAGCTCGTACAGCAGCACCCCCACCGACCACCAGTCCGCTGCAGGGCCTGGGAGGGGACGAACAGAGGGGACAGAGAGGGGGATCAGATCAGACGAAGCGACGCACGATCAGGGCAACATAAGGTCTGGATCCCCACCAGCAGCTCGTACAGCAGCACTCCTACCGACCACCAGTCCGCTGCACAACCTGGGAGGGGGGGGGGGGGGGTTAGAGGGGAATAGAGGGCAGCAGAGTGGCAAGGGAGGAAACAGAGGGGCAAGACAGAGTCGACTCAAGAGCAGCAGCACCTCCACCGACCACCTGTCCACTGCAGGGCCTGGCGGTGGGGAGGGGGGGGGGGCGTTGGGGGGGGGGATAGAGGGCAGCAGATGGGCAAGGGAGGAAACAGAGGGGGAAGACAGAGTCGACTCAAAAGCAGCTCATATACAGCACTCCCCCACCATTGACCACCAGTCTGCTGCAGGGCCTGGGAGCAAGAAGAGCAAGGCAAACAGGGGAGAAAAAGTTTGGGTTTCATGAGAAAAAGACCATGAGGCACAGAGGAAAACCCCATGAGCGAATCGCGCAGTGCATGCCACCCATGGGCGGACAATGCTACACCGCACAGCACCGCACTGCACCAAGCCTACCATGAGGAATCCCCGGCAGAATCTCCGGAGCCAAGTAGTCTGGTCGTACCCACTGCCTTCACTGCCACCCTCCCCCAACCCATTAATGCCATGCCACATGGTGCTGCACTCAACCAAGCCAAACCACACAGCACCGCTCTACACTGCACTGCACCGAGCCTACCATGAGGGAGGCCGAGCAGAATCTCCGGAGCCAAGTAGTCTGGCGTACCCACTGCCTCCACGGCGACCCTGCCCCCTCTCCCTGCTGCTTCTCCCCTGCCTTCCCCCTCTGCTCTTACTCCTGCCCTCCCTCCCCCCTCACCCGCTGCTCCCTCCCTCCCTCCTCGTTCTGCAGCTTCTTCGTTCTCTTCTCCTCTCCCCACCGTTCCCCCAGCATTACCAGCAGCAGTGGCAGCAGCAGCGCCGGCAGCAGAGCAGGGGCCTGCACTGTTACTGTCAGCCGCAGCACAATGACCTTCTTTACCACAAGTCGGACTGTGATGCTTTTGGCCATCCTCCCCGCCTCTTACACCTTCCTCGTAGCCCACCTCCTCCTCCTCCTCCTCCTCTTCCTCCTCCTCCTCCTCCTCATCATCATCATCCTCCTCCTCCTCCTCATCCTCCTCCGCCTCATCCCCACGAGCCACTGCTGTTCCGGTATCAGGCAAAGCACCATCCCCATCCATCCCATCCCCCCTCCTCCCCTCCCCAACTCCACTCAGCACACTGCCTGCCCCATTCCCACCGCTCCTGCCACTCAACAGGGCCCCATCCCCACTCCCACCGACGCTGCCGCTGCTTCCCCCACTGCCCTCCCCGCCCCCCGCCAGCCGCCTCAGCAGGGAGGCGTGCTGCGCCTGCTGCTGCCACCGCTGCGTGATCAACTGCGAGGGCGATGCACAGTGCATCCCTCCTCCCCCTCCCCCTCCTCCCCCTGCTGCAAAGTGTGAAGGCGAGGAGCAAGACGACCCCCCTAACCCTCCTCCTCCCCCTAAACCCGAGGGGTGCAGAGGGGATGAGCAGCCCGACGGATGCAAGGGCGAGGCATACCCGGGTGCATGCAGGGGCGAGGCGTAGCCCGAGGCAGGGTTGGAGTGGGGGCCCGATAGGGTGGAGGGCGGCCCGGATTGGGACGAGGGGAAGTCCTGCAGGCTGGAGGCGGTCCAGTGGGGCGAGTCTGCGCCCCCGCCTTCTGAGCTGATGCTGTAAGACTTGGGGAAGAGCTTGCCTGTGGATGGGGAAGATGGCATAATATAGTTGGAGAAGGGGGGGGGGGGGATGTTGGGGGATTGTGTGATACGAGTCTAGCTTTGAGGCGCCTCAAACTTGCCTGTGGATGGGGAACGGGGCATAGTATAGATGGAGAAGGGGGGAGGGGGAGGGGATGAGGGAGGGGGAATGTGCGCCAGAGGGGGTTGAAGGGAAGTCCTGCAGGCTGGAGGCGGTCCAGTGGAGGGAGTCTGCTCCCCCCCCGCCCTCTGAACTCACGCTGTACGACTTGGGGAAGAGCTTGCCTGTGCAGGGTAAAAGGGGGAGGGGAGGGGTCAAAGACTGTTTAAGGGCAGCACTTGGGAAAGTCCACAAACCTCCAACGAAGAACCTCCGACCAAGAACCTACGTCCAAGCACCTACGTCCAAGCACCTACGTCCAAGCACCTCCGTCCAAGAACCTACGTCCAAGCACCTACGTCCAAGCACCTCCGTCCAAGAACCTCCAAGGGGGGGGGGAGGGAGGGGGAGGGAAGGGATCGGGAAAGCAGGTAGGGTGGTGGGTGGGGCATGGGAGGTGCGTACCGGGGGGGAAACTTACCAGGGGAGGACGGAGCAGAGGCGTGGTGGGAGGGAATGGGCTGCTGCTGATTGGTGGAGAGGTCCCCGGCACTGTTGATAAGACCCACCCTGGACAGACCAAAGTCGGTCAGCTGTCGGGAAGGAGGGGGGCGAAGGGGGTGTTATGGAGGGAGACAGGATGGGCAAGAGGAGGGATGATTGTGATGTGTTCTGATTTTGAGAATTCTCAAAAAGGGCAGTGGGGGGGGTGTGACGGGGAGGGACGAGAGCAGAGGAGCATACGAGGGCATGCGATGCGAGGGAGGGCAGAGGAGGGATGAGTAGAGTTGATGGGAGCATATGGGAGCAAGTGAGGGATGACAGGGGCGTCAGGAGCACTGCTGAAGCGGCCTGCCCGTGACAGACAAGAGTCGGTCGGCTGGCGGGCAGTGGGGGGAGCAAGGGAGGGCGGGGGGGGATGGGAGGTGGTGAGGGTGGTGGCGGCGTGGCTTGCATTGCGGGGATGCATGGGGGGGGGGGTGCATAGGGGGGGATGCATAGGGGGAGGTGCACGAGGGGAGATGCACGAGGGGAGATGCATAGGGGGGGATGCATGGGGGGGGATGCATGGGGGGGGATGCATGGGGGGGGATCCATAAGGGGGGATGCATACGGGGGATGCTTAGGGGGATGCATAGGGGGCGATGCCTAGGGGGATGCATAGGGGGGATGCATAGGGGGGGATGCGTAGGGGGCGATGCATGGGGGGGGGATGCATATGTGGGAGATGCATAGGGGGGGGATGCATAGAGGGGGGGATGCATGGGGGGGGATGCATAGAGGGGGGGATGCATGGGGGGGGATGCATCGGGGGGGATGCGTAGGGGGCGATGCATGCAGGGGGTTGCATGGGGGGCGATGCATGCGATGTTACAGGCATTGCACCTTGATGTGGCCGTCATGTGCTATGAGCATTGCACCTTGATGTGGCCGTCATGTGCTATGAGCATTGCACCTTGATGTGGCCGTCATGTACTATGAGCATTGCACCTTGATGTGGCCGTCATGTGCTATGAGCATTGCACCTTGATGTGGCCGTCATGTGCTATGAGCATTGCACCTTGATGTGGCCGTCATGTGCTATGAGCATTGCACCTTGATGTGGCCGTCATGTGCTATGAGCATAGCACCTTGATGTGGCCGTCATGTGCTATGAGCATTGCACCTTGATGTGTCCGGCACGATATTGCAATGCACCACACCACACCTAGAAGCACACGATGCTTGATATACCATCACTGACTGCTTACACCGTTACACAATGATAACACCATCACACCTTGATGTGGCCGTCATGCGCTATGAGCAGGTTGTCGGGCTTGATGTCGCGATGCACAACACCTAGCGAGTGCAAATACTCCAGAGCTTGCACCTGAAACGGGGGAGGGAAAGAGGGGTGTGAGAGGGGGTTGAAACAGGAAGGGGTTGAAACAGTTCCATTTCATTCAACTAGCTCAACTGAACAGTCAACACCAGTCAACGCCAGTCAACTCCAGTCAACACTGGTCAACCCCAGTCAACCCAGTCAACCCCAGTCGCCCGGTCAACCCCAGTCAACCCCCGTAAACGCCAGTCAACCCTGCAGCTCACGCACCAATTCAGCGGCATAGAAGCGGGCTCCAGAGCCTCGCAGGCGTGCAGCAGGGAGAAGAGGTCGCCCCCATCCAGGTACTCCATCACCATGTCCAGGATTTCTCAACGAGCAGGCACAGTCAACGCCAGTCAACGCAGGTCAACTCACCAGTTTGGCGGCATAGAAGCGGGCAGTGTCTTCCTCAAGAGCCTTGCAAGCCCGCAGCAGGGAGAAGAGGTCGCCCCCATCCAGGTACTCCATCACCATGTACAGGTTTTCTCAACGAGCAGGCACAGTCAACGCCAGTCAACGCCAGTCAACGCAGGTCAACTCACCAGTTCGGCGGCATAGAAGCGGGCAGTGTCTTCCTCAAGAGCCTTGCAAGCCCGCAGCAGGGAGAAGAGGTCGCCCCCGTCCAGGTACTCCATCACCATGTACAGGTTTTCTCAACGAGCAGGCACAGTCAACGCCAGTCAACGCCAGTCAACGCAGGTCAACTCACCAGTTCGGCGGCATAGAAGCGGGCAGTGTCTTCCTCAAGAGCCTTGCAAGCCCGCAGCAGGGAGAAGAGGTCGCCCCCGTCCAGGTACTCCATCACCATGTACAGGTTTTCTCAACGAGCAGGCACAGTCAACGCCAGTCAACGCCAGTCAACGCAGGTCAACTCACCAGTTCGGCGGCATAGAAGCGGGCAGTGTCTTCCTCAAGAGCCTCGCAAGCCCGCAGCAGGGAGAAGAGGTCGCCCCCGTCCAGGTACTCCATCACCATGTACAGGTTCTCACGGCACGTGAACGAGTAGAAACACCGCACCACAAAGGGACTTCTGGCTGATGCCAGGATGTTCCGTTCGGCTTGCACGCTCTCGACAGCGTTTTTGCGGATCATATCCGCTTTGCGCAGGACCTGGGAAGAGGAGGGGCGAAGGGGGGAGTGGAGAGTACAGATTACAGGTACTCCATCCATCACCATGTGCAGGTTCTCACGGCAGGTGAACGAGTAGAAGCACCACCAAGGGACTTCTGGCTGACGCCAGCACGTTCCTCTCTGCTTGCACGCTCTCCACGGCGCTCTTTCGAATCATATCTGCCTTACGGGAAACCTGGGAAGAGGAGGCGCCAAGGGGGGAGTGGGCAGAGGGGGAACTGGGCAAAGGGGGGAGTGGGCAAAGGGGGGAGTGGGCAAAAGGGGGAGTGGGCAAAGGGGGGAGTGGGCAAAGGGGGGAGTGGGCAAAGGGGGGAGTGGGCAAAGGGGGGAGTGGGCAAAAGGGGGAGTGGGCAAAGGGGGCAGTGGGCAAAGGGGGGAGTGGGCAAAGGGGGGAGTGGGCAAAGGGGGGAGTGGGCAAAGGGGGGAGTGGGCAAAGGGGGGAGTGGGCAAAAGGGGGAGTGGGCAAAGGGGGGAGTGGGCAAAGGGGGGAGTGGGCAAAGGGGGGAGTGGGCAAAAGGGGGAGTGGGCAAAGGGGGGAGTGGGCAAAGGGGGGAGTGGGCAAAGGGGGGAGTGGGCAAAGGGGGGAGTGGGCAAAGGGGGGAGTGGGCAAAGGGGGGAGTGGGCAAAGGGGGGAGTGGGCAAAGGGGGAGTGGGCAAAGGGGGGAGTGGGCAAAGGGGGGAGTGGGCAAAGGGGGAGTGGGCAAAGGGGGGAGTGGGCAAAGGGGGGAGTGGGCAAAGGGGGGAGTGGGCAAAGGGGGGAGTGGGCAAAGGGGGGAGTGGGCAAAGGGGGGAGTGGGCAAAGGGGGGAGTGGGCAAAGGGGGGAGTGGGCAAAGGGGGGAGTGGGCAAAGGGGGAGTGGGGGAGTGGGCAAAGGGGGGAGTGGGCAAAGGGGGGAGTGGGCAAAGGGGGGAGTGGGCAAAGGGGGGAGTGGGCAAAGGGGGAGTGGGCAAAGGGGGGAGTGGGCAAAGGGGGGAGTGGGCAAAGGGGGGAGTGGGCAAAGGGGGGAGTGGGCAAAGGGGGGAGTGGGCAAAGGGGGGAGTGGGCAAAGGGGGGAGTGGGCAAAGGGGGGAGTGGGCAAAGGGGGGAGTGGGCAAAGGGGGAGTGGCAGGGGGGGGGGGGGGAGTGGGCAAAGGGGGGAGTGGGCAAAGGGGGGAGTGGGCAAAGGGGGGAGTGGGCAAAGGGGGAACTGGGCAAAGGGGGGAGTGGGCAAAGGGGGGAGTGGGCAAAAGGGGGAGTGGGCAAAGGGGGGAGTGGGCAAAGGGGGGAGTGGGCAAAGGGGGGAGTGGGCAAAGGGGGGAGTGGGCAAAAGGGGGAGTGGGCAAAGGGGGGAGTGGGAAAAGGGGGAACTGGGCAAAGGGGGGAGTGGGCAAAGGGGGGAGTGGGAAAAGGGGGGAGTGGGCAAAGGGGGGAGTGGGCAAAAGGGGGGAGTGGGCAAAGGGGGGAGTGGGCAAAGGGGGGAGTGGGCAAAGGGGGGAGTGGGCAAAGGGGGGAGTGGGCAAAGGGGGGAGTGGGCAAAGGGGGGAGTGGGCAAAAGGGGGAATGGGCAAAAGGGGGAGTGCAGAGTGCAGGTTCTTCCGGCACGTGAAGGAGTAGAAGCACCGCACCACGAAGGGACTCCTTGCCGAGACCAGGATGTTTCTTTCTGCTCAAACACTCTCGCCTGCGTTCTGGCGGATCATATCATATCATAGCATATCCGCCTTGCGCAAGACCTAGGGAAGGGGGAGCACGGCACGTGAACGAGTAGAAGCACCATACCTCAAATGGGCTTCTGTTTGATGCACGAGTAGAAACACTCGCCCCTACATGCCCTCGCCGATCAGCTTAGCTGCTCATAGATCACCCTCCCTACCTTGATCGCACACAGGTCACACACACGGGGGCTACTCCCTCCCTACCTTGATGGCAAAGAGGTCCCCCGTGGCCCGCTTTTGAGCCAGGAACACGCGCCCATACGCGCCCTTGCTGATGGGCTTGATGATCTCAAAGTCGTCAATCGTCGTGCGCTGCTCCTCCATCCCTCCGCCCCCTCCTCCCCCTCCTCCCCTACTTCCATTGCTCCCCATAGAGGTTACGGCCACCCTGGGGGAATCGGCTGCTGCTTCGGGTCCGTCCTGCAGGGCTCGCAGCTGTAAGACTCGGTGGTACTTCTCCCTGTGGGACGGGTGGGAAGGGTGGGAAGGGTGGGGACGGCGAGGTTTATGAGGGAGAGTGGGAGTAGGAATGCCGCCCGTGCACCACTGGTGCTGCGATTGCCGGGGGAGTCGGCTGCTGCGTCGGGTCTGTCTTGCAGGGCTCGCAGCTGTAAGACTCCGTGGTACTTCTCCCTGTGGGAAGAAGAGGGAGAGGAGAGGTCTCGAATGTGAGTGGAGAGGAGAGGGAGGGCGCCTAGGTCAAACACAAGCACATTCCCAACATGCACACCCACTGCTACCAAGAGCAAGGCCAACAGCCACTTACTGCAGCAGTATCGCTATCCGTAGACCGAAGATCTGGACGCAGGGGAAGCGGGCAGCGTGTGATCGGAGGAGAGCGGAGAGGTCTCGAATGTCGGTGGAGAGGAGGGGGAGGGCGTCCGCTTGCCCCACCTGCACCTCCCCCACATCCTCCGCTATATCTGCCAGGTCGTTCAGCTGGGGGGTGAGAGGGAGAGGCGGGGAGGTGGGGGGGAGGAGGAGAGGAATTGAGGAGAAGAGTAGATGAGGGGATCAGTGCAACATAAGGCACACTGCCTGCCCCACATGCACCTCCCCCACATCCTCCGCTGCTAGGTCGTTCAGCTGGGGTTGGGGGGGGGGGGGGGGGGGGGGGGGGGGGAAGAGAGAAGGCGAGTAGATGAGGGGAACAACACAACAGAGGGGAAAAAGTGGTGCACCACCTGCCCCACATGCACCTCCCCCACAGATATGCGGATTGCTGAGTGCCACCACCATCATCACAGTGTGCCCGGAATATGTATCACCCCCAGCCCACCTCGCCGCATTGATTTCTTCATCAGTCTCCCTCCCCCATTGCTACACCTCCCCCCTGACAGCTCAATCTCACTCGCCTGTCAACATCATCATCATCACAAACACCAACAACAGCAAACAGAGACCAACCGGCCATGTCCCCCAGCTCAACACATTGATTTCTTCACCAGTCTCCCCCACCACTACACCTCCCCCCCAACAGCTCAATACTCGGCCCATGTTCCCCCAGCTCACCACATTGATTTCTTCATCAATCTCCCCCACCGCTACACCTCCTCCCATCAGCTCCAGCTCGCTCCCCACACTGCCCCCTCCCCTCAGCGCCGACTGCCCCCCAGGCATCCGACTGCCGGGTCCGATGCTGCTCCCACTTCCCCAATGGTGTGCCCCTAGTGACTGGGCTCCTGGCAGGCTGTGTGACTGCAGAGTCGGTGATTGTAGGGCCTGTGACTGTAGGCTGTGTGATATTAGAACGCTTATTTGAGCGGGTGGGAGGGGTTGAGTGGCTGGGAGGGGTTGAGTGGTTGGGAGGGGTTGAGTGGTTGGGAGGGATTGAGGGGTTGGGAAGGGTTGAGTGGTTGGGAGCACAATGGGCAATGTCATAGCAGTGGCAACGGTTGGCACTGCTGCTGTTGCTGCTGCTTTAGCTGCTGACGGTGCTGTAGCTGCCGCCACAGGTTGTGCTGTTGTGGCAGTTGCTGTTGGCGCTGTGTTTGTTATTGCAGTCACTGCAGTTGCTGCAGTTGTTGCAGTTGTTGCAGTTGTTGCAGCCACTACAGCTGTTGCAGTCGCTACAGCCGTTCCTCCTACTACTCCTGCAGATGAGGCGGAGGGCGGAGCTGAAAGCTCCCTCCCACTGCCTGACAGGCTGGACGTGGGGCATGGGGTGGGCGAGGAGGAGTCAGAATGAGCACCCGCATGCTTGGCAGCAGGGGAGAGGGAGGGGGAAGAGGCACTGGAGATGGCAGCACGTTTGGCAGGGGAGTGGGTGGGGGAGGAGGCATTGGAAAGAGCCGTTCGCCTGGCGGGGGAGAGGTTGGGGGAAGAGGAGTTGGAGAGGGAGAGGCCGGCTCGTTTCATGAGGGGCACGAGGTCGAGTTTCCACGGGCTGCCGTGCGCCTGAGATGTGCGCACTGACAGAGGCGACCGCTGCTGCTGATGCTGCTGTGGTGGCAGTTTCTGTTGCTGTTGCTGCTGCTGCTGCTGCTGTGGTGGCAGTTTCTGTTGCTGTTGCTGCTGCTGCTGCTGCTGCAGTTTCTGTTGCTCCAGGTGTGGTGGCGAAGCTGATGGCGGTGGTGGCGGTTGCTGCTGCTGGTGAAGAAGTGAGCCTTGCTGGGCTAGACGCTGCTGCTGCTGCTCCTTCTCCCCTAGAGCCTTCTGCTGCTCCTCTCCTCCTCCTCCCAGCTCGTTTTCTCTCTCCAGTTCCTCACATGGCTTCTGTGGCTGCTTCAACAGCACCTTGAGTGAGCCAAGTGCCTCCTTTTGAGGCGCCTCAGAGCCAGCCTCCAGCACTGTGTGTGGGCCAGGTGCCTTGTCTTCAACCCCCATCCCAGCAGAAAACTGCCAATCACTATCAACAGGAGCACTGACAACAGCAGGCACGTTATAAGCAGCCTCCTTCAAAGCACTCTCCTTAAAAGCAGTCTCATTACCAGCATCCCCGTTTACAGCATCCTCGTTAGCAGCTGCCTCAGTCACCTTAAGAGCAGCAGCAGCAGCAGCAGCAGAGTCATAAGCAGCCTCAAGCCGCACAGACAGCTCAGCAACCACGGCATCCAGCCCCGTCCCCAGCCGATGGAGCCGCTCGTCCAGTGGTAACCGCGGGTCGTCGCAGCGGTTCGCCAGGGCGCACAGGCACGAGTGCTCCTGTAGCACCCGCACCGGCACCTCCTCCTCGCAAATTCTGCAGATCACCACTGCTTCCTCCTCCTCGGATAGTGCCTTCACGCTTCTGCTCGCTCTTCCCCTCTCTGTGCTCGTCCCCGCGCCTGGCTTTGCCCCTGCCCCTGCCCCTGCCCCTGCCCCTGCCCCTGCCCCTGCCCCTGCCCCTGCTCCTGCCCCTGCTCCTATGCCCCCTCCCTCCGCTGCTCCTGCTCCTGTTCCGCCTCCTGCGTCTGCTCCTGACCCCCCATACGCCATACCCAGCCCTTGGTCCTCTGACGTCTCGTCATTCATTCCCTTGAATTCCGCTGCTATCACCCTCCAGTCCTCCTCTGCTCCTCCCCCCATTCCTGCCTTTCCTGCCTCTGCTCCTTCCCCGACTACTCCCCATCCTGCGTCGCCATGCGCCCCTGCCTTGCTCTGCTCTCGCACCTCACTACCCCCCGCTTCCTCCCTCTTCCCCAGACTGTCCTGCCGCCCGATGCTGTCATGCCGCCCAGCGCTGTCGTGCCGCCCCCAGAAGCCGTACTTGTAGGGCAGCAGCTTGCCCGAGCTGGTCCGCTCGAGCTTGAGCCTCTCTTTGACTATCTCCAACAGCAGGCTCTCATCCACGCCGCCACTCACCCCTCCCTCTGCTGCTACTCTTTCTCCCACTATTGCTCCTGCTCCGATATCTCCCTGCTGCTGCTGCTGCTGCTGCTGCTGGTCCTCCTGCTGCTGCTGCTGCTGCTGCTGCTGCTGGTCCTCCTGCTGCTGCTGCTGCTGCTGCTGCTGCTGGTCCTCCTGCTGCTGCTGCTGCTGCTGCTGCTGCTGCTGCTGCTGCTGCTGCTGCTGCTGCTGCTGGTCCTGTACCTCCCAGTCGCTGTCTCTAATCGCCCATTCTGCTCCCTTTCCTCCGACCTTCTCTCTTCTCACCTTCTTTCCTCCGCCTACCACCATCTCCTCCCCCTCCCCTGTTAAAATATCCCCCTCCCGTTCCTTAACTTGGTCCACTTCCTCCACCATGTCCTTGCCCTCTTCTGCAGCCACCGCTTGCAACTGCGCCTCCTTCCCAACAATACCACCCACTGTCTCCTGCCACACCTGCCCTTGCTCCCACTCCCTCCCTTGCTTCTCACACTGCCCTTCAGCCGCCGCTGCTTCACCAGCAGCACTAGATAGGCTGCCAAAAGCACCGCTGCTTGAAGGAATCGCACCAAAATTACTCACGAAGGCAGCATTGAAGGGAGCAGCAGCGTCATCAGCAGCAGCATCGAAGCTGGTGGCAGCAGCAGCAGCATCAAACGGAGTGCTAAGCTCGCTGCCTCGACTCATCCGAACCAATCGCAGGTGAATCGCTCCATCTGATGGCCCCGCAAGGCGAGACCCCTCAGGTGCTCCTTCAGGAGCCACCTCAGGTGTTTTTGCAACAGAGCCATCATACTCCTTAACCAGCCGCCTACTCTCCCACATCTCAACCTCTCGGTGTGATACAACCTCCGCGGCCATCACCTCTCTCACTTCACCCACCCCATCCATCCCACCACTTTGCTCCCCCTCCTCTCCCCGTCCCACCTGCTCCTCTCCCTCCCCACCGTCTGCCACTGCAGCAGCCATTCCCCTGTCCCCTTCTCTCATGGAAACCTCCCCAGAATCACGGAAAGAAATCTCTCTAGGAAAACGCACACCCCGCTCTCCCTCTAAACCCGATCCAAACCCTAAACCCCGCCCTAGTCCTAGCCCCTGTCGTGATTTGCCCTGCAAGCCTTGACCCACAGACGCCCTCTCATCCCTATCATCGGGACTGTGGTCCCCACCGTACCCCACCACCACTGTCTCATGCCACCCCTCCCCTGCTCCCCTGTTCCAGCCCTCTTCCCGTCTGTCCGGCTCCCTTGAACGCCCCTCCCCTGCTTCTGCTGCCACTGCTGTCGCTGCTGCTATCCCTGCTCCTGCTGCTGCTACTTCTCCTGCTGCTCCTGCTGCTGCTTTTGCTTGCATCGGAGCGCCTGCAGCGGCTGCTACTCCAGATGCAGCCACTGAGACCCCCTTCTCCTCCCACATCTCAGAACCCTTCTCCTCCCCCCCTCCCGCTCCCACTACCGCAGCAGCCTCATTCTTGCCCTCCCCTCTGCCCTCTAGCTGCTCCCTGCCTTCACCCTGCTGTGTCTCCCTCACCCTCTGGGGGGACTTTGGGGGCCTCGAATCAGCCACGCCCTCCCCCACCCCCTTTGCGCGAGGAGACCTGGTTGACTTCCCATGCACCACTGCTGCCTCTGCACCTCCACTAGTAGTTCCAGTCGCCACAGCAGCTGCGCTTTCCACGGCAGCAGCTGCTTCTGCCGAGGCAACTAGACCATCTAGAGCGCCCATAGCCCCCTCAGTGAAACCCATGGTACCAGGAAGGGTGGAGAAGCGCTGGGCCTGCTGTTCTACAGCCAGCAGCACCTCGCCCAGCCGCCCACTCAGCGACGCTGTCAGCCTGCCAGGGCCCGCCTCCCCTGCTGCCACTGCCGGCCCTGCACATGCACCTGCACCGCCTGCTGCTACCACAGCTGCACCTTCCCCAGTGAAACCTACAGCAGCACCAGGAGGGGTGGAGAAGCGCTGCGCCTGCTGTTCTACTGCCAGCAGCACCTCTCCCAGCCGCCCACTCAGCGACGCCGTCAGCCTGCCAGGGCCCGCCTCCGCTTGTGCGCCCACGCCTCCCCACGCACCTGGCACTACCGTTGCTCCCGCGCCTCCCCAGGTGGACACCCGGCCGCTGCCCCTCTTCCAGCTGCCCGCTCGGATCAGAGGCGGAGTGAACACAGTCTCTGACGCAGCAGTGGCAGCAGTGGCAGCAGTGGCAGCAGGAGCAGCAGTGGCGGGGGCAGGGGTGGTAAGAATACCAGCAGTGGCAGCAGGGGTACTGCCCCTGTTCCAGCTGCCTGCTCGCACCAGAGGGGGAGTGAACGGCCTCTCTGGGGCAGCAGCAGTGGCAGGGGCCCTGACAGGAGCAGCAGGAGCATGAGCAGCATCCGGTTTCAGGGATCCTGCAACCGCCTCCTTTTCCTGCTGAAACAGCTGCTGCTGCCTCCACTGCTCCTTCCCCTCCCGGTGCTCCCCTCCCCACTCCCCCTCCCCCTCCCCCTCCCCTTCCTGCTGCTGCGCCTTGCCCTTCCTTTTCAGCAGTGCTTGCTCCCAGACAGCAAGGTCAGCAGAAACGCTCTCGCCGCCACCACTCATTCTGCCAGAATCACCTTCCTGGAAGGACCCTCCCCACTGCAGTAACCTTCTGCCAGGTGGCGACAGCCTGTCGTTGCTTCTGCTGCGCTCCACCTGAACATGAGGATTCACCTGACACTGTTCATTCATCTGGAAGCTCCGGGTCAAATCGAGCCACGATTTGCTCATCACGCCAGGTGGCGACAGCCTGTCACCGCTCCGACTGCGCATTGCCTCTGCTGCTGCCACCTGGCCCCTCCCACTGGTATCTGGAGGGCGAGGGGGCAGCAGGGGCAGCGAGGGTAGTGAGAGAGACAACCCGTTCTCAAGCCTTCCCAGTAAGATGCAGCTGTCAGTTTGTGCTTGAGGTTTTCTCCCTGCCCGGCCGGCCGCTCCTGCTGCTGCTGCAATCGCTGCTGCTAGCGCCGCTGTGGCCCGGTCGGTTATGTCAGCATCACCATCAGCACTCTCACCAGCGTTAGCGTCACCAGCAGCAGCAGCAGCAGCCAGAGCTGCTCGTCTGTGCTCCGGGCTGTGGAAGCTCGACCGCGAGCGAACAGAACGTAATGAGGGCTTCGGCACCTGCTGGTGCTGCTGCTGCTGCTGCTGCTGCTCTCCCACGTGGGCTCTGTCAAGCCTGCTACCCTCCACATCTTCTGCCCTTTCTGCTGCTCCCTCACCTCCTTCCCCATCCTTCAGCTGCTGCTGCTGCTGTAGCCCCTCATATCCCTCTCCCCATCCTCCCAACTCCGACAAACCACTCCAAACCGCACTGCTCTTACTCGCACCCTGGCTGGAGCCTTCATCCTCGTTACAGACACCCCTCTGCAGGTTTAGAGCCTCCTCCCACCGCGAATCGCTTCCAAACACCACTCGCCTAGACCGCACCTTATCCAGCATCACAGGAATATCTGACCTTCTGCCAGTCATGGGTATGTGACCTTCTGCATCTGCCTGCCTGACAGCTACATATGTATCTGACCTTCTGCTTCTTCCCCTTCCTGCAACATTGCTGACATCAGCAGTGACGTCACCACTGCTGGCATCACCTGCACCAGATACACCCTCCCTCACCCCTACCCCTGTAAAAACGTCTCCTTCTCCTCCCATCCCTTCCCGCCTTCCCTCCCCTCCTCTCCCTTCGTCACTCACCCCCCGTTCCCTCATGCCGCCAACACTCAACCCCCCACCATCCCCCCCACCATCTCCCCCACCATCCCCCCACCATCTCCCCCACCTTCCCCCCCACCATCCCCCCCACCATCCCCCCCTGCACTGTTCCTCCGCACCGCCCCTTCCCTCTGGAACTGTAGCAGTCTTGTGCACCGAGTCAGGACAAAAAGCAGCTTCATGATGAGCTGGCGCAGCGGGCTCCCGGGTGGCATGCCTTGTCTGGCAGCGTTCAGCTCCTGCACTAAAGACTCGCTCTGCCGCCCAAACTCGTCTGCTGACATGGCAAGGCAGCGCTCGGCTATGGATTTGAGCTGACGCACTCCTGCCGCCCATTCTGTGCTGCTGATACTGCCAGTGGTGATGGCACTGCTGCTGCAGACACTGCCCGTGCTTGTGGTGGCGGTAGTGGTGGTAGGAGTGGTGGTGGTGCTGGTGGTGCTGGTGGTGGTGCTGGTGGTGGTGGTGGAGGTGGTGGTGGTGGTAGGTGATGTTGATACCGCTGCTGCAGCGGCCGAGGGAGGTAGTGGTGGCACTGCTGCTGGTATCTTGAAAGAACGGCCGCCGCTCTTGCCACTGCTACCGCCGCCGCCGCTGCTGCTGCTGCTGTTACTACTGATGCTACTAGTAGCCCCACTACCTACACCACCACTACCAGCAGCACCAGCACCAGTAGCAGCAACAACACCAGCACTACCAGGAATGACTTTACCATCAGCATCAGAACCACCAGCAGCAGCAGCACCCGCAGCAGAGCCAGTTTCTCCCGGTCCGAACGGGGGCAAACGGGAGCCTCTGCCAATACAGGGTACAGGGGTGACTGGAGTAGTGGGGGAGACTGAGGGGCAGAGCGGCGAGGGGAGGGGGGAATGCGCGGAGGACTGGGGGAAGGGCGAGGGGGGGGAGTGAGAGGGGAGGAGGAGTGGGGAGCGTGCGGGGAGGAGGGAGAGGGGGGAGAGGGGCGAGAGCGGGTGGAAGATGTCGAGGCAGAAGCAGCGGAGCTCCGCGTCCATCTTGTCCTTTGCTGACTCCAGCTTCGTTCTTAACGCTCCTAGCACAGGCTGCTTGTAACGGGGATGCGATTGAGCGTGGGTAGAGGGAACAGGGGGAGTTAGAAAGAGGGAGGTGAGGGAGGGGGGAGAGGGAGGGGGGAGAGAGAGGAAGAGGAGAGGGAGGGGGGAGAGGGAGGGGGGAGAGAGAGGAAGAGGAGAGGGAGGGGGGAGAGGGATGGGGGAGAGGGAGGGGGGAGAGAGAGGAAGAGGAGAGGGAGGGGGGAGAGGGAGGGGGGAGAGAGAGGAAGAGGAGAGGGAGGGGGGAGAGGGAGGGGGAGAGAGAGGGGGGAGAGAGAGGAAGAGGAGAGAGAGGGGCGAGAGCGGGTAGAATATGTCAAGGCAGAAGCAGGCATGCCCGCCAAACTACGAGGGGGTCGTTGCCTCAAGGTATGGTTGCCTTGCCGGGTGACCTATGCCCAGCGCACCTTGGAGTCGAACTGCACGTGGCGCAGGTCGTGCTTGAGGCGGGACGAGGGCGCGGAGATGGTCAGATCGTTGCCTCGCAGCGGCACGGCGCGGCTGCGGTTGCCAGTCGTGCGGTTCATGCTCTTCAGCCGCGTGCCCTCTGCACTCGCCAGCATTGGGGCCTGTAAGGGGAGAGCAGCGGTTGGGGCAGACGAGGTGGGTTGGAGATGGGGGCTGCGGTTGTCAGTTGTGCGGTTCAAGCTCTTCAGCCGCACGCCCTCTGCGCTCGCCAACAGGGGAGCCTGAAGCTGAAGGTAGTGGGGAACAGTGGGATGGGCGGAAATGATGGCGGAGAGGACGGGGAGGAGGAGGGGGAAGGGGAGGGGGGGGCGGCGCTGCGGTTGTCAGTCATACGGTTCTGGCTGTTCAGCCGCGCGTCCTCTGTTCTCGCCAGCATTGGGGCCTGGAGGGCGTGGGGAAGCACGGGAAACGATGAGCAAAAGATGGCAAAGAGAGGAGAAAAGGGGGGGAAAGGGGGGCGGGGTGGGGTGGGGTGGTGGCGATTTCCATATGTGCCGCTCATGATGCTCCTGGGCGGCTCATGATGCTCTTGGGCGGCTCATGATGCTCCTGGGCGGCTCACTCTCCGCATTCGCCCGCAAAACGAGAGGCCCATTTAGCATATTCAAGTCCCTGTAGATCTCATCGGGTTCCTGCAGCGCTATTCGAGGCTTCTACTTTCCCCCAGCTTCGCCGACCTTCTCCCCGGCCTTTGCCATGCCCCTGCCTTCAAACTCCCTCCAATTGAACCAAGTTCTCATGCGAGTTCCCCAGTTCCTTCCTTGAGATAACATCATTGTTGAAGTCCTTTTCGGTTCTTTTCGGTTCTGTCAGGCTCTTTTCGGTTCTTTTAGGTTCTTCTAGCTTCAACTTTCCTGCTTCCCCTCACCTGACCGGCTCCCATGGGCGACGGCGTCTTGGAAAGGTCCATCGAAACCCTGCGATGTCGCATGGCGGCGAACTTCGCCGACGGTAGCGACGACGCCACGGCCGGCGAAGCGACCGGCGCAGCGCTGCTGGGGCCGGAGGGTGGCCGGCTAGCCGTCGGCGACGGCCCGCCGGGTAAGGGGTCCAGTAGAACGTCCCGGCCGGCAGAATCGTCTGACGGCGGGAGCAAAAAATGGACGGTTTCCCGAGACCTCGGCATGGCTGCCAATAAATGACCTTGTAACCGTAACCGATCTACTGGTGCACGGAGGTAGTGAAAGCTACTGTGCTAATGATCTTGTAACCCTAACCGTTATGCAGGAAATAGAATCTGGTAGCCTGGTCAGAAAGCGAGACGAGAACAAGATAGCGACTCTTAGGTATCTCCCCTCCCTAGAGCGATAAGTTCTTTGACCGCTACGCAGCTGCGTGCTTCGAGATGCCCGGGACACGGGCGTTCGGAATAAGACCCTCTGAACCTGGTGCCGAAACTACGAAGCATTTCATAAACCCGCTGCGGGAAATTCCCTGGGGTTGACGAAGCCAGACTGGACGTCGTCCAAGAAGCCTGAGGGATGGGAGTTCCTGTTCCGTGTGAGAATCAATCTACACTCCGTGTCGGTCGGTCCGTGTTCTAGAATCACGAAGCTCGGCAAAATCCATGGACCTGGGTTTCTGATGACCGCGGGATTTCCAAGGGGTGCATCAGCGAAGCAGAAACTGTAGTGCTCGGCAGAATCCATGGATGGGAATGGCGTGCCCTCATGATGGGTGCATTGACCGTTAGGTGGACAGAAACAGCCAGGTACGCTCGGAGTGTACAGTTATTGAAAGGGTCACCTTAGGGCGGGTCCAATTCGCTCATTGCGGGGTTTGGGACAAGATTCTACGAACCCGGGTACAAATCCATGGAACGACTCCGAATTCGTGAGCACCAGAAATTGTGTCCCCGTGTTATGATATAGGAAGTGCCAATGAACTATAACGTGACAATACAAGGTCGCTATTGCAATGAAGGCACGAGGTTATATAGGGGTTGGCATGCTAGGGCGTTAACCTCGGAACGTGGGTAGGTTCGGCAATGTGGCGACAGTGCCGGACGCAACTCGGGAAAGGGTTGGGCCGACAAATGAGGCCAAACGTGACAAGTCGAGGAGTTCGGGTGTACGCGCTAGCGTACGACTCAGTAAGGAATGCAAATTCCTTATAATACCCCCCCTGTCACAGGATCGAATGTGTCGAGGAAAGGTTGCACTATCGATTGATACAAGGCGCTTTTATACTTTCAAAGTACATCAGGTAACCAGGTTTATCCTATCCCAAGGGAATAGACCCTTCTAGAAAATAGAATCACCCTGCGTATAGCCACGCAATGCTATTGGCTTTAAGGGATTACGGTAGGATTACGCTAGATATAGCGTACCAATACATCCCGAGCCTGGTCGGTGATATAATCATAATAACAGGATAAACCAAAGGTTTATGGAAAAGAAGGATGAGGAATCCAAATGGAATGAGAGAAAGACCAAATGAATCAGGATAAAAAGAGGAATGAAATGGAAAAGGAAGATGGAAAGGATAAAGGAATGGAACGGGGTCGTACTCTCACACTTTCCCCCCTCAAAGCTGGATGGTACACGTAACACCCTGCTTGACAAGGTAGTCGCGAAGAGGACGTCAAGCGTGATCCATCGCGGATTCAGAGACCCAGCTATCCTCTGAAGGATCATAACCCTTCCAACGGATGAGAAGCTCCACGGTGCCATTCCGTCGACGGCGGTGAGCAAGCACGGACTCGACCTCGTACTCGGGTTCATCATGGACGAGGACGGGCGGCGGCGGCGGCGGTTGGCGTCCAGAGAAGACCGTGTTGGGATCTCGGTAGGGCTTTAAGAGTTGGACATGGAAGGCATTCTGAATCTTCCAGGTAGCTGGTAGGCGTAAGCGGAAGGTAAAATGAGTGACCTGTGCTTCAACAAGAAAAGGTCCGCAGAAGCGAGGTCGCAGTTTGGATGGGAGATGGCTGATGTCAAGATTGCGCGTGTCGAGTAGTACTCGGTCTCCCACGGTGATGGTATGGTCTGTGCAGTGGCGATCGGCCTGGCGCTTCAGTTGCTGCTGAATGTCGAGAAGACGCTTGTGGGTCCAACCCCAGAGTTTGTGCATGGTCGTGATGAAATCATGAGCGAGTTGGACTGTGGCTGGTATGTTTGGCTGTTGAGGTGTGAGTGGGTGGCGTCCGTAACAGAGGAAGAACAGCGTCTGTCTAGTAGCGGCGTGAGTAGCATTTTTGTAGGCAAACTCCAGGACGGGCAGATGCAAGTCCCATTTGGAGATGTCGTCCTTGTACTGATCGATAGTGCAATCTTTCCTCGATACATTCGACCCTGTGACACTTGGTAATCAGAGTTTTTCTCACTCGGCCGCGCTCAACAAAGCAGCAGCAGCGGGAAAACCTGCCTCGAAAAACCGCCGGGGGCGACCAATTCGACGCTGATTCTGGTAAGCACCAGCTCCGCGTTTTTTTTAATCACCCCCCCCGCGCGTGTTTTGAACAGGATGGCAACCTTCGACAACGCCGAGGTTACCCAGCAGCTCTTCGCGCGCATCGCAGCCCTTCACGAGGAGATGCGAGCGGATCGCGAAGCGTGGCGAAACGAATTCGAGGGAGTAACTCGACTCGCCGGAGCGCAGCACAACTCGACAACGGCGACGACGCAGCAGTCGCAGCAGTTTCTCGAGGCTCCGAAACCGCGCTTACCTGAGCCGTTCGATCCGAGCGATCGAAACTCCGACGCCCGCAGATGGATCGCCGGGATGGAGATCTACTTCGCAGCCGTCGGATGGAGCTCGCCAGTCTGGGACGGTCAACGTGTACGACTCGCGGCGACACTGATGCGAGGGCCGGCACTCAAGTGGATTGGCGGCAACAGTACCTTCATCCACGGTGAAGCCACGTGGCAGCAGTTCCGCGCCGACCTGCTGAAACGTTTCGAGCCGATCAATTCGAGTTTCCTTGCCCGTGAAAAAATTCATCGACACCGACAGTTCGGGAGTGTAGCGCAGTACACGCAGCAGATGGAGGAATTTTATAACCGCATTCCCGACCTGACCGAAGGGGAAAAAGTACAATCGTACCTCGCCGGGCTGAAGACCGAAGTCAAAGGACAAGTGGCAGCGTCAAACTACGCGAGCTACAGTGACGTCGTTTCGGCAGCGGAGCGCTTCGACATGGTCAACGCTGGAACACGACGGACGCACGTCGGCAGTATGCGACAGGGCGACCGCTCGGCTCACCCCACGTTCGCCGACCCGATGGAAGTCGACAGGTTCGAGGGGCGGCCACGTCCAAAAAACACCAACTACATGTGTGATTTTTGCGGGGTGCCGGGTCATCGAATCTTTGACTGCAACAAAATGAAAACCGCACGCGCTGAGTATGGGGCACGCAACAGTAACGGAATTCCTTCGGCCAATCAGAAGATAAAAAACGGGAGTCGCCAGTGATTGCGGATCTAGCTGGCGAAAATAAAAAGATCCGGAAGCGGGCGCGGGATTCCGGGAAAATCAACTTCGACGAAGCCGATTCGACGCGAGAAGGAGGAAATGATGGGGGAAAATCTCCACCCCACGACCAGTCTTCGCCAGGGAAAATCGCCGAGGAAAAATCTGACTCCGCGAAAAAAGACTCTGCCGAGACAGGGAAACTCCTTGAAGACCCATGAAATTATACGGATTCATTAAAGTTATCTTATAAAGATGCTTTAATGAAAACTTATGATTTTCGAGGAGCTAGAGCCTTGGAGAAATTTCGGGAGGGACTCCAAAAGAAGCAGACAGCTGTGGAGATTATACCGGTACCGGACAACTTGGGGAAAAAATTAAAGAGTGTGGAAAGAAGCCGACCTTTCCACGGAGTCAACGTCCTCTCCCGACACCAGCCCACAACGACGACCCGTTCCCCAGGGAAGACGTCGGTGGAGATGAAGCAGCTCAAGAGGAAGCTGGGGATCTATAAGAAGCTGCACAAACCCCGAACTCCTCCTCCGGATGCATCCAGTTCTTCGGCATCAGTGACACGCACAGTCGTCAAGGAAACTCCGGGCCCTGGAGAAGAGCCGTTCTCCAAGCAGCCTCGACCAGCTGCCAGCTCAGGAGTAGATAGCAACACAAAGGTGTGTACGGAATATTGGGATGTACCCTATGACCCAATCAATGAAACCATTTTTGGGTACTCCGAGCACCGCCTGCCCCTCGTGCTCGAGGTCATCTGCAAAGGACGACGCCTCCAAGCACTCGTGGACAGCGGAGCATCACACACCGTCTGCGACAAGGCAGTAATCGACCGACTTCGGGAAGAGTACAATCCTTCAGGATTCTCTGCAACGATGGTGGACGGCATAAAGTTACCGGTACACGGCGAAGCAGTGCTACATCTACAAATTGGACCACTGCGCTGGAGACCTGCACTCCCCATCACCAACATCAAAGGGCTTGACTTGATCTTCGGGCGAGACTTCCTAAAAAGATTCAACCCCGAGATCAACTGGGTGAACCGCACCGCAAGCATCTACAACAATGGACGGAGAGTACAGCTACCCAACTGGGACGATACAGGAGAAATCCCAGTGGAGACACTCGCGCGATTCGAGAAGGACGTGAAGCGAACCGACACCGCGTTCCTGGCGATAGCAACAGAGGTAGAGAACGACGGAGAGACGACCTCGGAACCTCCAGGAAAGATCAAGGAATTATTGAAGGAGTTCGAAGACATTCTTTCGGACGATCTTCCGAACGAGCTACCGCCATACCGAACGCATCAACACGAGATCGTAGAGGAACCGGGTTCGAAGCCGACCTTCCGAGCACCATATCGGCTCAGCCCTACGGAGCTGACCGACATGAAAAAACAGATCGAGTATCTCCTAGCCAAAGGACTCATCCGGCCATCCACTTCGCCGTACGGTGCCCCAGTACTCTTCACACCGAAACCGGACGGAAGCCTGCGCATGTGCATCGACTACCGAGCTCTTCACAAGCAGACCATCAAGAATAAATATCTGATACCGCGAATCGATGACCTGCTTGACCAGCTTCGGGGTGCTACGGTATTTTCCAAACTAGATCTGCGGTCCGGATACTGGCAGATACGGATGGCGGACAACTCTATCCACAAAACTGCTTTCCGAACTCGGTATGGATCGTACGAGTATTTGGTAATGCCGTTCGGACTCACCAACGCACCGGCAACGTTCCAAGCCGAAATGAACCACATTCTACGACCACTTTTGGACGAGTGCGTGGTGGTGTACCTGGACGACATACTCATCTACTTGCGCGACATGAAGCAGCACGTCGAACACCTTCGACGCGTCTTCGAAATTCTTCGACGAGAACGGTTCTACGTCAAACTGTCCAAGAGCGAATTCGCCCTTGAGAAGGTCCAGTTCCTATGACACATGGTGAGCGCTCAAGGAGTTCACGTCGACCCCAAGAAAATCGAAGCCATACGTACATGGAAGACACCCGAGAATGTGAAGGAGTTGCAGCAATTCCTAGGCTTCGCTAATTACTACAACAGGTTCGTGCCACAGTATGCAAAAATCGCAGCACCACTCACGAATCTGCTGAAGAAGAACACGCCCTACAAATGGGAGCCGAAGCACCAGGAAGCTGTGGAGCAGCTGAAGCAAGCACTCACGTCCACACCAGTACTCATCTTGCCAGATCCCGAACGCGACTACGTCATCGAA